CCCCGCAGCGTCCCACCCTCCAGAAGTACTAGTACTAGTACTAGTAGTAGTAGTAGTAGTAGTAGTACCAATAGTCAGAGTGCTACTGCTACTGCTGCTGCTACTACTACTGCTGCTACTACTACTGCTGCTACTACTACGACTGCGACAACGACCACCACCACCACCGCCGCCACCACCACCACCGCCGCCGCCGCCACCACCACCACCACCACCACCAACAACAACAACAACGCCCTACTATCACAACCACAACCACTACCACTATCACCGACGACCGCGACCACAACCAGCAGCACAAGCAGCACCTGCAGCCCGAGCAGCGGCGGCAGCAGCGGCACCAACCAGCAGCAGACCATCAGCACCACCGCGAGCGCATGATAACAACAAAAAAACAAGTGCAGTGACATCTTCCTCCAATGCCACCAAAGCTACGGCTCCTGCAAAAACAAACCTGCATCGAGTACCGTTACTACCTTTTCCTCTTCAGTTGTCGTCGCTGCTCCTCTCTGTCGCTGTTATTATCGTCTTCACTACCGCACCTGCACCAGCTGCCCGACCAGTTCGAAGACTGTCAACTATCATCCTTTTAGCGCTGCTACTATTGCGTTAAACAGTTCCTGCTGACTCTCGGGTCCCGGCCGTACTCCGAAGAGGAGCAGGATGCACAGAACGCTCAGTACTGCCTCTGGAGCCACTCCCCAAAACGAGGGCTTCGGATTCCTACTGAGGCTTCAGTCTCTAGCGAAAAGTGTAATCACTATACAGTAAACTCGCCTGCTTCGGAGGGAACCTTCAAGGATGCAGAGTTCCCGGCAGAAGAGGTTACAACAACACGGATTCTTAAGCGTTGCAAACCTGAAGAACTCCCTTCCCAGGTTTCGTGACCCAATCACTCTTCGGGTTGTTGTGACAGCTGCTGTAACAACCTTTACTTAAGACGCTTCTTGGCAAAGCTGTCGAGGTCGTAAAAACACGCAGTGCTCGGATATTTGCAGGAGGATTTTCGATCCCTGCTTAGAGGCTCTGCGCTAGGTCTCATGCAGAACGCATGATGGACCATGCCTTAAAAACTGTACCCAATCAATCTTTCAAGTCCCCACAAAAGCTAGATCTGCATCCTTAAGCAGCCACCGTCAAACTGCGACAATTACTAACCTTGAAGCTTAGCAAAACATTCCTACTAGTCAGCATGCAGGTACCTACGAACATGTCTTGAGGCGTAGTCACGGGACCCAATGTCATGGATCTTGTTGCCCTTGGCCCGACCTTGGGGTATATGTTAGCTCCCCCGGTACCTTATTAGATAGTCCTCGTGTGAGCACGGTCTTTAGCCATAAGCTGCCACCATCCAGCTGTCTGGATCAATAGTGAGCAAATCCTGCACGAAACCAGAAGCGTATTCGTATTGATAATCTATGCAAATGGACAGATCTTCAGGCAGCACAGTCTACTAATTGGTACTCACCCTTCAAGAACGTCGGGACCTTGGACCTAGCATCCTCAATCATCCTGCCATCATGAAGCTGAAGACGCATCCCTGACTCTTACACAATTCCGGCCTGGAGGATTAAAAAGAAGGCAGGGTTGTTGGGAATGACCTCAGCCCAGCAGACCCAATGAACCCTCACGGCGGTTGGTACGAAACATCCTGCATGGCCTTGGTATAACATTATATGTGACTTCCTCAGGTGGTCATGCTGGTGGTTCGGTAGCAAGCGTAGGTTGCAAAGAACCCCAACATCCGAACCCGTAGGAAGTTGCAAGCCATGAGGAATTAGCAAGGCGTCATCCCACTCATGCGTGTAGTAATCCAATAGCTCATCCAGAAATATCCTGCAATGCATCCTGTGCGTTCATGCAAACATGTCCAGTCACACTTTGGGACCACTTAGCCAGGTAAATAACCTGAGCCTTAGAAGAATTTAGCCAAACGCAGTGTTTTAGGGTGCGAGGGGCTGAGCGGGTAGGTCGGCCAGATGTAAGGATGAAGTAAAGATGGCCCCAGCCACCTATTTTATTACATTTGCACTTCACACTAGGAAGACATAGCAGAGTTCAAGTGACGAGAACTGCGATTGATTCTCAGCTGTTTTTCGAGGGTTCAAACCAGAGGCAGTCACTTGGGAACTTATTCAAAAAAAGGAGTTGGGGCTAGGTTGAAAAAAGAGCTTCCGCACAAGCTTCCGCTTGCACAGTGGGAACCACTTTTCGGAGTTGTTGCCGGGCGATTTCTGAAGTTATTTCCGTGTCGAATATTCCTGAAGCCCTCTGAAACGTACTGGAGATGCAGCGGGTTCCGATCCGGCCAAATGCAATTCCGACAATGGATGCGTTGGATCGTTTCAATCCGTGGAAGTCTACGAAATACACCAACAGCATGACCTCAAGCTCAGATGTGGTAGTTTCCAAACCAAGCACGGGGATTGAAGGAAAAGCCTGCGAAGCAAACCCGCATCTTTGGAATCCTCCAAGTGTGTTGCCCTGAGCCCTCAACACTGAGACCCGGTATGCGAAACCCCTCAGCAATTGAACCATGAAGCCCTAAACCCTGAAGTAGTTTCCATTTTCTTTTCCATTCCCCCAAATATATTCCCAATAGAAACCCTATAACAATCCCCTATAACCACCCCTTGGCCACCTTCAACACCAGCACCAACATCACGGGAATTCCGGTCATCCTGGGTGCGGGTACTGAGAAGTTGAAGGATGGGTAGTTACTACATATTTAAGGGGGCAGCATTTAATCCGTTGTAAGGTCATCACACCCCCTAAAACCATGGTGTTTGGATGGAGCCTTGAAGCTTGAAAGTCGTGGTGTGGACTCGGTGGTTCTGGTAGCATCCTAAGCGCTGAGCCTCAAAAACGGGATTGCTCTAAAGTGATCAAGTTGTGCGGGAAGTACCCAGGTACTGGAAACGTCAAACAAGACCTAAGCCTCCGTGGGGATTGGACACCCTAGTATTCAGGTGACAAGACACGCCCTGAGTCCCATGTCCATGGTGAAGGACGGAGCGGAGGACATTTCAACCACGATCCTCCAAGACTCTCGTCAATAACCTCTAAACTCTAAACCCTCAAGTGCATACAAAATTGCATTCAAATCGCAAGCAATGAAGCAAACCTTTGAAGTTCCCGATGCTGGACACCTTCAATGCCCTGCCAGCTTGCAAGCACCTCAACCGTGAATCCAGCTCATATGGGGGCCTAGCGAATAACCGAGAAGCAATATCATGGTCCCAGTTTCTGTGTATAATTCCGGTATAGAGTGCCTGAGATAAACCTCCAAGTAGTCTTGGCAATTTCAAGCCCAAAAGACTCAATAGGGCTGGCAATTACAAAGAGAGGGATTTTGGGAGTCCCTACTGCCAATTCTACAGGAGCAGTTTTGATAGACTCTCATGAGAAGGAGAGCAGGAGGGAGGGCAAGGAAGGGGTATGTTATTGGGGTTTAGGGTTTAGGGTTTGGGGTCGGGACGCTGTGCTTGGGACGCAGGGCAACAACTGCCGTACTAAACTCTAGGCCCCATGCGCGTAACATAAGAGCGGGAAAGAAAATTAAGGCCACGACACCCAAACCTCACATGCTACTGAGCCACAACTGGATGATTCCGAGGCCACTCGTGCAAGTCTTGTGCATCTTACGGAGTACTATGCACCCATCAGGAAGCAGAAAAGCATGCCGTCAACAGCATTCCAAAGGATGAGCTGCTTCCCAGAACCCCAAAAAGGATCCACAAAATGGACCCCCCCCCAAACAAAAACTGATCCCATTATTACATTCGAGAGAATAGGGGATTATGGGGAGAGCTCTTTTGGATCCTTTAGTGGGTCTGGGTTCTTGACAAGCCACATCAAGCTCATGAAGTTGTTGGCAGCGAAGTACGCGCCAACAGCCTCTTCTCGATCCTTCATGGGTGGGTCCACGCCAAACAAGGGGCTGCTTTGCAACAGCCATCACAATTCGCGCTGTGAGAAACTCTGGTGGTTGGTCAAAAAGGGCAGGAGTAAGTATCGATTGGGATCTGATACGGAGTCTGTAGAGATATTATCCCAGATACTTGAGAGCCATGAGCTGGGACGAAAGCTGAATAATGAACATGAGTGGCGAGACAGGACGTGAAGAGAACGATCATATGCAACCAGAAGAGCACGCAGCCCAGGCCTCACTGCCCGTTAAAAGAACTGCAACCCTCCTACCAAAACCATCCGTTTAAAAAACACCCTCCAAGATCCCCTCAAGACCCCCCAAGATCCCACCAGATGCCCCCAAGATCCCCCCAAGCACCCAGAGCCCCGCAAGATCACCCCAAGATCCCCCCAAGATCACCCCAAGACCCCCAAGACCCTTCAAGATCCCCCCAAGAACCCCCCCAACTCCCCCTAAGATCACCCCAAGATAACTCCCAAGAA